TTATACAACTGAAGGTTCCCTTTTGCTTCTTTAATTCTCAGACTTGGGAAAATATACAGAGAGAAGTAAGGGTAGAGGACCCTACCTCAATCCCCACTTTTGTATTTGGTCAGGAAGCCCAACTTGGTAATCACAGCTGCCTTCTTCCACCACCCTTTCCATGTTCCCTACACTCTGCTAGCAACTCAGTAGGATAGGTTCTTTATCTGATGGGATGACCAGACCTTCAATCCAGATGATCTGAGTGCTTGATGCCTTGCCTTTATCCGTTGCCTCTGTTTTCCATTGCCAGGGACCATTGGGCAAGGAAGTATTAAAACATGCCCCAGCAAATCCCCTGAGTTCCAAACAGCATCCTCCTTACCCCATCATTTAATTGAATTCTATTTGACATCATCATCTCCTATCCTGTTCATATGAAGATGATGGCTTACCCATCTATGTAGCTTGGATTAAAAGGCAGATTCAGACTTAAATTTAAAATTTTAAAAATGTACACAAATGAAATATTCTTGCCTAAAATAAAATATTACCAAAAGGTTGAACTTGAATCTGATCAAGCTTCTAGATTTAACTAATAATTTATAGGAAATACAGGGGAAAGGTCCTTGATATTTTTAATAAATTGGAGGGAAGGAGGGAGGGGGAGAGAGAGAGGCTGAGATTTAAAGTCTGAAAGAGACTTGAGACATATTAACCAATTGCCATGTAGGGACCTTAAATTCTAATTTGAACAAAAAGCCTCTCCTGTCTCATTAAGAGGTGAATATTCAGTAACTTTTACCTTTCATGTTTAATAATTTAAATAAAAGATTATAATAGATTGCTATTTGCTAAATATCAATGCTATAATTTTTTAATATAGAGCATTATAGGCACAATGAATAAAAATATTAATTTCAAATCATATACATATTTTTGTTGTGGAGAAGTAAAATAAAGAGTTCAATAAAAAGACTTTTAAGCATAAAAATACATTCCATTAGGATGAAATTATGGAGGGAGAGTAGAAAATAAATAATGCATTTATTTATTTAAATAAATAATGGTAATAAAGAAATGATGTAAAATTTCAAGAGTTTCTTTCCATATTTTTTAATAATGGAAAGATGGGTATCACATTGGTATGGTACTTCGATTCTGTGGATACATTTAAAAGAATAAAGTTTTATTTTTTAATGTCAATATTTAAATCATGCCAGAAATTATGTATTTTGTAACTGTTGCAACTTGTGATGAAAAAATGTAGATGCTAACCAAAAGTGTGACAAGGGTACATAGTTTCAAAATTCTTTTAGTGGAAACACAAGGTAAAGAGTTTGAACCTTCCTGTTAAATCCACCACTCCTCAATGTTTCTTGAACACAAATTCCTTTTCTTGCATAATACTTATCCACAGTCTTCTGAATGCATTTCATCAAACAAAAAATTTAGATACACTTGAAAGTCCTAATTGCTGCACTGTTGTACCAGGAGGTGTGTGCTTCTCCACATCATTTGTTCACTTAATAAATGTTAGTTGAGTGGGTACTAGGTTTAAAAACCTGTGCCAAGCGCTAGTAAATACCCACTGGAATCACATACAGTGATTAAACCCTTTAATTAAATCCATTTGTCTCAGAGCCTAACAATGATCAAGTTCTTAAACTCTGACCTTGTTGACACTGTGTTGGATGAAAATAGTGAGACTCATGCAGTATCCTCCTGAAAACTAAAATGATCTTAGGAGGGTCTAGCACAAGCATATAAGAATAAAAAAGAGTATTTCCGAAGGCAGGTTATTGTTTCAAGACTTGAATTCTACTCTTAATTGAAATGGCTCCTTGCTACTCCTGCAGGACCTCTGAAAAGATGAACTAGAAGCCAGTTCGTAAGGAGGTCCATATCAGAGAATAAATCCTTATTGCTGGTGGGAAAAAAACAACTCAGGTAGGACAGGCTATGAAGTGATATCAATATTCTCGATCTGTCACTCTGTGCCCCTAGACTTTGCAAATGTTGCAAAGATTATGTGTATATGGAGTTCTGATCTGGAGATAAATCACCTGCAGCAGTCTGACCAGCTCTGTTGAACAGAGTCAGCTATATTTTTGGGGGCTTAGAAGATGACATTAATATTGTCCATATTTATCGTGGAGGGGAGACGCAGAGTTGCAAGCTGCAATTCTGAGATCTGTGGGTTCAGTTGTCAGTGTGTGCTGTTTGCTGATGTATGTGTTAAACCTAGCAAGCTTTTCTTTTTTATGGAATTTTTTACTCTCTGCTGTGTATTTATGTCCACCTGCCTTTCCTAACCTACACACACTCTTTCACACATTCTTACACCCTTCAGTGTCATTCTTGCACAAAAAGATCTCTTCTTTGACTGTTCAGAGAAAAATCCCTATTTGACAGGGACAGTGGAGATGAAAAACTCACTATTCCTTCCTAAACACATGGATCTTTGGGGGTAGAGCGGCAGGATGCAGTCTGCAACCTCGTTTTTTGTATCTTTGTGTTTTATTTATTTTTAACAATCAGAGAGCAGTCTCTTGCCCTTTCTCAGCAATTACTTAAAATGTCAAGAAGAGATCTGGTCCACTGCTCTCAGAGACTGACCCTAGGCAATATAAAACTCAGAGATTTCTGCTTGTATCTTTATTTACTTACTCATTCAACAAATATTTATTGAACACCTATAATATGCAAAGCCCTGGGCCAAGCAGCAGGCAGAATTATCTGTATTTCATAGGTTCTGAGATACGCATTTTTCAACATTTTAATGTCTATGAATTTGGGATGTTTCCATGGCAATGTTTTTTTTTCCTCTTTTTTAGTGACATCAAAAAACAATTCTATGTCTTACAACCAGTGGCCTCTTAGCTTTGATGGAATACTACATTGCCCACGACCTCTCTGCTTTCACCAAAAGAGGGAATATGCAAAACAAGAGGAGGCAAAACTCACAAATCAGCAGGCTTTTCGCTTGTTGTCAGCTTTTGGAGCAAAAGAAGAAGTCTTGGAGCTTGTGTGGTTTGAAGATGATCTGTGTGTTTCATTTACTCGTGTGCTCCTTGGCCTTAGAAACATGTCACAACTGAGTATGGATTATCTATTGTTATTCTACAGTTCTTAAATTCACAGATGACTTTTTTATTGCTGTAGAGTGAGTGTGAGAGTGTGGGTGTGCGTGTAGTGCTTTCTACCAAAAAACTCATTTGGAAATTGATTTTGGGGCTGTTGTTGAAGCCATAATTTGAGGAGACTGTTTCTTAGCATATATCTATAACACGTCAGCAGAAACTATTAGAAATATTTTTAGTCGAGCCAAAGAAAGATTTTTCTGTTCTCTTTATTCGTCCAAACACTTATCGAGTCCCTGTGGTGGATCAGACACTGTAAAGCACTGTTAGGAGACAGACAAAGGGGATATCGTTTTTGCCTTCAAGGGACTTACACTTTAAAGGGCAAGGAAAACCTATAACCCACGAATGCTCATATTAGGAAGAAGGAAATGAGTCCTCTAACCACAACTAGGGATATCTACAGGAGATCTGCATGACGCCACAGCATCATATTGATCTTTACATGTAACAAAACAAAGGTTGTCCTCCCCTTTCCTCTGAAATGTGGCTGCAACAGAGAAAAAGACTCCAGGCAGAGCTCAGAATAATGTCTCAAAACAGCCCTTCTGTGGTTGATATAAAGAGACAACTCCCATCCACTGGTGGATGGCAAGGGCTACATATTTTGAAAACTTCACAGTCAGCCAAATTTTCCACGCCTCCGTAACCGCTATCACTGGTTTCTACCCAATAATAGATCCTATCAGTGATCTGTTGACTCCCTATTCTCATTTCAGGATGCTCTGTCCTTTTTCTTCCCTGCTCAGCTTCTCCCTGATCCCTCTCAACCCTTCCAATTACCTTCAGAATCCTTCATCTTCAATCTCCTCATAAAATACTCCCTTCCCTTTTTTTTGAACTACAGGTCTTCAAAGGCAGGAACCAAGCCTGTGTGACACAGAGTAGACCCTAAAAATAAATTTTGCTGTATCAAGGAAGAAAGAAAGAAAGAAGGGAAGATCGCTTTTCTTCTTGACGATGTGAGTTTAATAAACTGAAGGAAATTTGGGGTCCGTTGCAGAGCAGGAAATGGTACCTTGGGGTGCTGAGAAAGATCAACTCTGAGTTTCCCGTCCTGGAAGTATCTGAGAACAGCGAATCTCCACCTAATCTTTTGCCCCAGCACATGTGAGAGTTGAGATTCGAATGAATGGCAGATGGTTGGGGGCCTAATCAACTTACCTGGAATTCCCAGAGCAATGACTTTCAAGCCACCTTTCTCTCCCACCTGCTATGCAAGTGATTAAAAGTGAAGTTATTAAAGAGATAATATTGAATCCACTCTAATTTATGGGAGGGGGGAAGCAAATCACTTGCAAATTTTGCTATTTTATTTTTAGTAACAGATTTCTTGAGACAAACCAGTTTATGGACCCTCCCCCACCACCAGCAGCCCCGTACTCTGCACACCCTCCACCAGAGCTTACCTGCCCTCCCTGTCCCCCACTCTCAGTTCAAACCCAGAAGTCAGAATCCAAAGCAACAGGAGCTCTTCCCTCAGCCAGTACCCAAAATGGCCCTGCTTTCTTCTTTTAACTCATAAAGTACCCATAAGACTTGTAAACAAAAGGAAAAGTAGAAACATTATCAATTTAAAGTGAAAATCACCCCTTCTGAATATGTTCATGTTATTGAAAAACAAAACACACAAACAAAAACCTAGTGTGTGTCCAGGTTTATGCTGCCTAATTTTTAGACCATTGTTATATGCAATATTTAGGACATACACATCCTAAAAATTATTTGTTGTTTATTTGAAATTCAAATTGAACTAGGCTTTTATGTTTTATCTGGCAATCTTATCACTAGATACCATTGCTTGGGATTCACCAAACATGTTGATATCCACCATTGCTTCTGATCAAAGACATTTGAAGTAATTTCAAGTACCTAATAATGGTAGCAGTTCAGATATTGGGCAGTCTATCAAAGGAGAAGGATTTGGAGACTTCTTAGCATCTCAGAAATCACTGTACAGGCAGAGGTCCAGCTTGCCTGTAGGAAGGGAGACCAACCATAGTGATAAGGGAGATGGAGGCAGAGGACGATGAAGTAAAGGATCAAAGGGAGTGGGGCATCTTCCAGGGACCACAGGGGACACAATGTGCTCGGCTACCCAGCGCCACGCCAGAGAGAGCTGACTCTGCTCGGTCCTGTCTCCTCCCTCCTGGGCCTCGAGGAAAGTGGAGAACGAGTCCCAGTTCAGTGCTGTGGGAACTGCAATATTTTGACAGTGGAACCAACTGACTTTCAGCTTCCTTCCCTTTGCATCTCAGCCCAGGACTTGCACAAAACTTCTCCTAAAGGCGAGGCAAATATTTATTGGTGGAAAATGGCAATAGGTGCCTTGATAAGCTCAAAGAAACAGTTAAATCTGTGTGCGGATCATTTAATCACAGTATCTGGAATATATAAACAAGGCACATATTATCTCTCCCTCCCTCTTTTTTTTTTTGTGGCCTCAAAATTTGATCCAAGTCTGGGAGTTAAAAAGTCCCATTTTGTGTAATCAAGTTCTGGTTGAACATGATTGCTGAATTATTTTAAATTGAAGACACATGTCTGGAGGCTGAGCTGTATGTATTATTTCAGGATGGTGTCCATTATGTCTTATCCATAGGGGCTATCTTCAACTTTTGCCACATTCAATGCATTCTTTATACATCAGTATTTGCAAAAGGGTGAATCATATATAAGGGAAAATTGGAGAGAATATGGTACTCGTTAAAGGGTGATTTTTTGAAATTATCTTGAATGTATTACTCAGACCTGTTTCCAGTCTCCCCTGCAAAGGCTCCCAGAGCTGGTTGGAAAATTTCTGAAAAAAAGAAGAGAACATTTTAAAGACAATAACAATGCATAGATAAATAAAACCAAGCAGTTGTGCAAGACCCATCTGCAAGACTATGGTTTTGAAAACATTACAACTGAATCAACATTTACTTTAACTCCTTGTCAGCCCTAAACACTTTAAGTGTCCTAATTGCAGATCTCAATTGTTGCCACTACCATGGGCTTTTCCTTTTGAGTGCGTTTGTCCCTGAACTGAGGCTTTTGTCAGACTTCACCTCGCAAGGGCAGCCGGTTGATTTTGTAAATCGTTGCATCGTGTCAAGGGCTCCAGCCCCGACTCGAAGGTTGCTGGCTCTCTATGAGGAGTTGTTGGGGTGAGGGAAACTCTAATGCTGAATCAGGGCAGGGGCCCAACCACACCAGACACCACCCTACTCCAAAGACGTCCTCAGTGCTAGGAGCTGGGAGGTCTGTTGAGTGGTTGTTTAACAGTTTTATCGGTGTATAATTTCCATACCATAAAAGTCACTCATTTGAAGTATACAATTCAATGATTTTAGTAAATTTACGGAGCTGTGCAACCATCACCACAATCCAATTTTAAAACAATTCCATCACTCCACAAGAAACCTTGTGCCCATTTGCAGTCACTCCCCATTCCCTCTTCCAGCCCTTAGCAATCACTAATCTACTTCCTGCTTCTGTAGATTTGCCTATTCTAGACATTTCATATAAATAGAATCATATAAAATGTGATCCTGTTCTGTCTGGCTTCTCTCACTTGACATAACTTTTTGAGGTTCATCCATAGTTCAGCATGTATCAGTGCTTTGTTTTCATTGATGAATAATATTCCACTGTATAGACATACCACATTTTGTTCGCTCAGTCACCAGTTAACAGTCATTTACTTGAGTTGCTTCTACATTGAGACTATCATGAAAAATACAGCTGTGACCATTCGTGTACAAATGGTCATTTTTAAATGAATTGGATGTAGGATTGTTAGTGTCATTCACAGTAAACTGTAAGCTGGATTTACTTTTTATTTTTTTAAGGGGTTACTCATGCTCTTGTTAAAGCTGTCTATTGGAACATTCCAGAATAAAGTAGGTTCCTAAGTGCCTCAAGAAATAATATTTATCAGAGTGAGAACCTTAGAAATTCCAGGACATGAAGTAGTTAAGAATAAGGAAGGGAATACTTGGAAATTTTGAGACTAAAAGTAATCATAACTTGGAGTTTAAAGAGCTCAGACCCACGAGCGCCAGCCGCACAGCCATTGCTTCTGGCAGCCTCGGCACACGCTGCCTGATTTCTGAGAGTCCTGCTGACTTAAATAAAATGGAGGCCACTCAGGGAGAAGTAAAGTTGGAAGTGGCAGGGAGGTGAACAGGTCATAACACGGGAACAGAGTTGTCAGGGTTTGTTTATTTTCATGCCTTCTAAGACTTCAGCGACTGAGAGGAGATGCTGGCAATTCTGTCATCGAGGAATGAGTGTCGCGAATGATAGGGAAGCAGCTATATCAAAAAGGGCCCTTGCACGCTGCCCCCAAATCACCCATCTAGAGCTAGAAAAACCCATGTCATGAGAAGTCCTTTCCCCAGGAATCATCAAAGAAAGCTGGCATATAAAAAGCAACATAGTTTACAGAATGTGATACTGGCCAGAAGTAAAGGCTAGCATTCTTGTCCTGGCTTGTCGCTAACCCTCTCTGTGGCCTTGGCCAGGTCACTAACCTTTCTGGACCTTGGCTTCCTCATTGTGAGATGAGGGGAGTTGACATCAGGATTCCTGCCTAAGATTTTTTCTCATCCAGTATTCTGTTTCTCTGACAACTTTGAAAACTTATACTTTTGAAACCCACATTAAAACCAGCATCCTCATCCTTTTCTCAATCAGCTTATTGATGTCAAGAGATGCGATCTGGAACGCCAACTGGTGAAAAATTAGCATTTGGAACATAATTTCTTAAAATGCCACACAGCGTCCCAGCGGCACCCAACCCTGTTTTGCACATAGGAAAATTGCATTTGATTTTTCAACATATTCTCTTGCAATCGCTTAGCGTCTTTGTGTCAGAGCTGGGAATTGAACCAATGTTTTAGGACTTCCAGACCTTTATTGTATCAATTAATCCAGATTGCCTGGGAGCAAAGAAAATAATCATTCAAGAGCTTGTGTAAAATAATCCACCATTAAAAAATCTCTGACTCACAGGCAAAATGTCATTTTTTTCCTGCATTTGCTTTATGGTTTAGGTTCTTATTGGAATGGTAAGATCTTGCTGGAAAAGAGGTTGGAGGGTGGTTACAGTTGGATGATAGGTGGGAAGGCTTTATTCTCCCAAGAATAGAGAATGTTCCCTGCTGAGAAGAATGCCAGCATATCTTTTACTGCCTTCTCTGTGGTTGCCTATGTTCTCTCTCTTGCCCGTGGAGCAATGTGACATCTCTTGCCCAGCCTCTCAGACACACAGCTAGCTGCTGAAGGCTTAACACTGCTTTCATTAGGACTTTCAAGTACATCTCTTAATGAAAGGCAGCAGTCTCGGTCCACTTCCCCATGGCAAGAACCAGCCGTGGAGTTCACAGGGATGCCTGCTCCCTTCAACTCCATGCAGAGCACTCCAGAGCCTTGGCATTTTGACTGTTCTCCAAAGCCAATGACCAGCCTGGTAGTGAAAGAAATCTGGGGACAGATGGTATGAAATTGAAATCACATCATCACTACCCTCTCCCAAAAGCTAGCCTGTTATTTTGGCAAATCTTCACAAAGCCACATGGCACTCATGCTGGTCTGATGGAGGTCTGCATCTTAAATGTGGATGTCTGAACATCAGGGCTGGTAGAGAGGTGGCACATTAAAGAGGAAACTGCATTAATGTCATGTGGTCCCTCTATGACAATCAGAACCACATGTAAATTTGAAGAAATCCACATGCCACCAGACAAATGGGAGGTCTCTCTTCACTTATAGACCCATCTGTTGTTGAAAAACAACCTTGTATTACTGAGAAGCCATTCTGTGTTGGAAAGGGAGCATAGTCCCTGAGATAAAAATGGCTGCAAATGTTCTTTTTTGGTTTTCTTCTTTGAATTTAGCTGCAAGATAGTCTAGCAGGTAAAGCCATCTGAAGCAAGCACACAGCATCATGAGAAGATATCAACATTCTCTTCTGATTTGCTGTAGATGTCTGACAACCTCTCTTTGCTTTACCTCTTCCGTTTGTAAAATAGGAATGGCCAGTGTTCACATTACAAACCGAATATTAACAGCCAGGGCTGCGTGCCTGTCCACTTCTGAAGGCACTAAGTGAAGGAATTGGAAGTGGAAGGAAGTGGAGTGCAAGGAAGTGAGAGGAGGAGGAAGGACCACCTGGCGCACCCTGGAGGAGTGGTGCAGGTTCCCAGCTAAATCTGCATGGTGCAGGTTCCACTTCTTCCAACCGCCAACTTTCATAAATGCCACCAACAACGTATGGAGTGATCAGGATGCTTTGGTTGGTACCAACTCCTAGCCTGGCGGCATTGGTTTATTTTCATGGCGAAAAATTCTATTTCCTCCTCTCTTAAATATTTCAAAATAGTGTGACTATTGCATAAGTCTATAAATGGAAAATTACTTAAAATTCTTCAAGCAAAGGATTTTTAAGAATATACAAAATTGCATACTACATTTCTCTAAGCTCTGACTCAAAAAAGCAAACGTAATTTATTAAAAGATGCATCTCTTATTCTATCTCATTGTCATTCCAAAAGGAGGGAGAAAAGCAGGTAATTTGGGGTTTGATGGTTTATATATATATGTGTGTGTGTGTCTACACACACACACACACACACACATATATAGTGAGGAAGGTTAGCCCTGAGCTAACATCTGTTGCTGATCCTCCTCTTTTTGCTGAGGAAGACTGGCCCTGGGCTAAGATCCATGCCCATCTTCCTCTATTTTGTATGTGGGATGCCTGCCACAGAATGGCTTGATAAGGGGTGTGTAGGTCCACGCCAGGGATCCCAACCCGTGAACCCCGAGCTGCCGAAGTGGAACCCAAGAATTTAACCACTGCTCCACCAGGCCAGCCCCTGATGGTTTATATTTAAAAATTCCTGCCTCACCACTTATTACTTGGATGATTAAAAAGAGTCTGAGCTTCAGTATTCTTATTTATAAAAATCAGCATAATAATAATAATAATCATTGTTATTATAATAGCAACTTTAAGAGATTATTGTGAAAATAAAATGTTACATGCTTTTTAAATTGTAAAGCCCTAACTAAAAGTTAGTTATTATTATCTATAGGGGGGAAAAAAACCAAGTAATTCACCAAAGTATCTGGAAAATATTTGTCTTTTGTATGGAGCTGTCATTAGTGCGGGATGCAGAGAAAAATCCTGAAAATATCAAGATGAGAAGTGAGCTAGTTTGAACAACTTCCCTGTCTGCATTTCTCTCTTTCTGATTATGTCTCCAAAAATTCCTTGTTTTTTGAGCATATTTCTATATGCTTCTTAAACTGGGAGACATTGCTGTCAAAGAACTCAAAATTGTGTTAGAGAAAATCCCCCTGACATCTCATATCTCTTCCAACACCCTTTCTTTGGAGATCAGACACTTTTTCCTGGAAAAATGCTCATTATTCAGAGGTTACTTTGCAATTTCCTTCAACTTCGGCTCGCCTGCAGGTTAAACTATGCCTTTATTTCAGGATACATGGAAAACTTTGAAGAATGAGAAATTGGAGTCAATTGTAGATGATCTTCTGGAATGGTACCAGCAAAAATAGGCTTTGACCATATCGTCTCCATCATGGTTGATTATAAAGGATTCGTCACTTTCTCACTCACTTTATTGTTAAAAATACTGGAGTCTTGAATTTCTAAACTAATAAAACTCCTTATGGACAGCACAATGTTCATTTAATAACTTATTCCTGACACAGACACATTGTATGAACATGCATCGATCACATTCTTAAATGGATCAGAGTACTGTATTTCTACCCACAGAATCAGAATTA